AAATTTCACGCACACTCTTTGTTCCTTCTGGTCGGCCATCTCACTAATCGCCAAAGGGTTGAAACAGGAACGCACACAACAGAGCACCACAGACAAACCACTTAACTCAGACTGACGCCAGCTCACTAACAGTCGCGGGAGACCCCCAGCTAACACCACCTAGCAGCACAACTCGTAACTACAAAGCATGTGCGCGCAACAGGTCGGTTCCAGTTATTTTTGGGTCCCCCTTCGTATTGTATTTGACTTGTTTCATACCCTATGGTGTCTACCTGTATCTGGATTTACGGAACATAAATAAATTGAACAATTGATTCTTAACAACTGTAGGCTTATTTGTATTTACGAGTTAAGCTTAGAAGTTTAATTGGATTCATGAAAAGCAGTAAACAACATAAGTTTTACAAAGTTGGGTGAGGTCGAATGAGATACACTGTTGATAACTTATGACTCAGTAAAAGTACAGATAAAATTGATATTGTGTCTTAATCTCTGTTTTAGAATGCTCGCTGGCAGCATGGAAAGCTGAACAGTTTGCTGCAGAAATGAAAATGTATTCACAACCAATACATTGCCTTGAGGATGGAAGTTATGATCCACTGCAATGCAGTACTGATAGGTGTAGATGTCTTCAGGCAAGATCAAATGTACCTGATGCTGATCATGGCATTCTTGAAATTAACATTATGGAAGATAACCCAGCATGCTGTAAGCATGTGTATTTTAGTTAACATATTTTTACTGTAATAAGTTTGTTGAATGTGGTGGACAGATATTTTAACTTTTTAGCATAATTTGAAATGTTGAATCTCAGGTATTTCTTGGGCTATAACATGTAAATCAATGGGATAAACACTAACAGGCATGTAGTTTGTGGGAGTAGGTGCAAATGCTGTGGTGCAACCTACTGCCACCAATTTAAAGACAGGAGACTCTTCACACTTCTACCCTAATGATGGAGGCAGTCGACTGTTCCAAAACATTTGTACCTATTTAGTGAACTACACATGGCACTACATCCTAGAAGACAGTCATGGTATTCATCACCATGGAAATCTAAAATCTCAGTCATGTACTTGTTGAGTACAGTATAATGAAAAAGAATGAAGTTATATCTGGCCACTGACTTGAATTTTTCTGTATTGATAATAATATTTTTCACTCTTAAAACATGTGCTTCTGAACACAAACTAATGTGATATTGTAAGACCCGGTATATGGATCACATCATTAGGGAGGCCATTGAGATTGAACTCCATCCCAACAGTGAACAGAGATGTGGGGTTTTGTCTCAGCAAGTCATGGAAGCCTCTCATCTGTTCCCTCAAGAAACCCCCAGGACATGACGTCGGATCCATGAGGCCATGCAACTCCATGCCCAACACGCATAGCAACCCCCAAGCTCAAGGGTTAATGCCCTCCCGTTAACCTTGCCTTTCTCCCCAAACACAATATTCTATACCTGCTCTAGCCTGCTACCTGCTGGCCCAACCTACCCAGACCCTTCCCCTCTCCTCTCTACTGAGTTCCCATGTTGCCCCCCTCTCTCTTCCCTCCCTACTCGCACCAGTTGTGCGCTTGCAGATTTTCTTCTTTTTTTCTTCTACCCTGAAGATGGAAGTGATACGTTCCTTCGAATAGTCGGTTAACACAATATCTGCATGGCACCGCATCCCAGAAGACTGTTCTCTTTAATGTGTTATTGTACTCTTACAATGGCAAATGATGTGTTACTTAAATAAAATGATTCATTTTAGCATATGAACCTTAAATGTTCACGTTTCCTCATATTACTTTCCAAATGTTAGAGTTTTTTATTGGTTATGATCTTCAGAATGAAAACCAAATCATCTAATTCTTTAAAAAATTATTTGTGGAGAAAAACAGATATATTTGTGGTATGTACCATTATATAAGGATGCATTTTCTTCTAAAACCATCATAAAACTGCAGTATAGTTATTTTTGTTGTAGTTTTCCAGCAGTTTTATCGAGAACTGTAAATGGTGTTGGTGTTTCAGTTGACCCCAACATTCATCAGAAAGGCAAGTATAAGAGAGAATGTGAGGAGAAAGCATTTAAAATTATGCAAGACAAAGAACAACTGCTGTCTGAAGGCATCCTCCCTATGGGACTGCGCATACCAGACTGCCAGTATGATGGCCGGTATAACAGAGTTATGGTCACAGACACAGAGTGAGTAACAGTGACAATAGCATTACTGAAAATTGATGTTAACATTCAATCCTCTCCAGTTTTGCCCAGTAGCGCCTTACCATTTCTCCATCAACTTATCTGCATCTACAGACATTTAACCTGCACATCTGTGTGTCTGTATCTACCACCCTTAATTCATCTATATAATTACACTATAACCTGCCTTACTACCAATCTACCTGTTGTAGGAAATCACCTCTTTTGAACTACTTCCTTAAATAACAATAATACTTTCAACACAAAGGAAGAATGATGAATATGCTGGAAAGTTACCATATATAGAAGCACACAAGGAAGGATTACAATTAAACAAAGCTTTAATTGAACCATATATTTGAAATTATTACCAAAAATTGGTAAAACTATAAGTTCTCCATGCCCAGTAACCAATTCACCTGATGATGACCAGTGAGATGGTCAAAACATGTAGTGATTTTTAATAAGTAGTTAAATGGATATACATTTTTAGAGTTGTGTGGACGGAACACAGCAATTAGATTAGGTGGCTTATGCAACAGGATGCACTCTATGAAGATTCTAAGAAATTGTTCATTGCAAAAAAATGTGTACTTGATTTAAAATATAAATCTCATTAATGACTACATCTTTTGTGTAAAATGTTTCTAATTGAACGAGTATTTAATGAAATAGAATGAAACACATTTTATGACTCATTACAGTGTTTAATTATTGTTTATTAATAGTTTTGCAACAGCAAATTTGTAACTCCAATAAGTGAATATGGAGACCAATGAGATATGTAAAATTTCAGAGAAAATACACAAAAAAATGCATGTAATTCAGTGGAGTGCAGTGCTTGACTCAAGTCCAGTGTAAAGAATATAAGATTTACGATATTTTTCTTCCTGACTCAACAGGAAGATCTGCATAGATCCGGATGGAAACAGTCTAGGTTATACTGTACTGCGTAACGATACATTATCTGATGGGATGGACTGCAGTAAGTAAAATATATATGTATTTTCCATACATCCAGGACTCAGTTCTATGGTGGAAGGGGAGAGAATAATTTGATTCCTGACTTATTTGACATAACATCATTATATTTCATTTTGGAGTAACAGTGTAGAGATGAGATTTTTTAAAATGTGTCAAGTTATATTCATGTTTGTTTTCTGGATAACCAAAGATGTGTCTTTCTAGAATCTTGAAATTAGATCATAAAGATTGCTGCCTTCTGGGATACGTTGCTGCGTAGAGCGGTAGATACCAATGTTCTAGAGAAGGATGAAGGTGGCAGGTTCATCCAAAAGTTGGTATTCATCTATCAAAGTACACGGTCTGATATCCCAGAAGACTAATCGTCACATTTACTGCCATGAGGACAGCATATCTCACAAGATATGCTATAGTTTGGTATGAATTCAGTTGATTCTTCCATGGGCCCCGGTGCATCTAAGTGGTGAAGTGTTTACTATGTGAGGTGTTTTTGTGTTTGGTGATTGCTACTTTTGTTTAAAAATTGTCACATTATTCAGTGGGATGAGGAATCTTTTACTGTGTTTTATCATATTGTCACGTGTTGGGTGTATAACATGACAAATACCTTCACGCCATATTGTATATAGCGAATTTTATTTCACACTCACTCTTTCAATCACACAATTTACGATCTCACAATTACTGCTATCTGCAGTATTACAATTACTTGGCCTGCGAATGCTAGGCTACAACTGACTGGTTGACTGACTCCCTGGCTAACTCGTAACTCTCCGCTGGCTAGATTCCAACTGTCTTCGGCGACGGCTACATTTCGACTTGCTCCTTAGGCAGTGCAGTTCTCTTATAGAACCTCAGCCAGACAACAGGAAACGCCTCGCTTCCTTGTTGCCTAGTCGCCGTGTTTGCCGATAGCCTAGCAACACTGTTGGGAGTTGTTTACGGCTACATAGCAACTGCGGCGTCCCGTGTTACGTAATGGGTACCGCTGTTTACTCGCTTTGCATAGCGACCAGCATGCTTGGACTCAGCTCACTTCGGCTCCGCTCGGCACGTCACCGCTGGAGGGGGGGGCGTCCTCCNAGCGCAACACGTCACACTGCTCCCTCCTTAAGGCTGTTCATCCCAAACAGCCTAACGGTGCTCCTCCGTTCCTTTTCTTTCCAGGATCTGCTTTCTGCATCTCCTGGTATTTCGGCTACTCCTCGCAGCGACTGTTCTCCGGCCATTACAACTGCTCCCCTCTTAAGATCAGCTTGTCTCGAGCGGTTTCCTGCTAGCTTGCCAGAAGATCAGGTTGTATCACATTCATTCGTCGCACATTCACGCTTGCTCGGGAGGCCGGTACTTCTACGTTACCAGCTCCTCCTGTGTGCTATTCAATTTTTTCATTTTGGAGGGGGTCGATCCCTCCACAGTGTCCAGTTTTTAATGTTCGTATCTGCTGGGATTCCGTGCAGCACGTCTGCTTGTGCACTTGCACATGCCTCGAAATTTCCTTTCACAACAAGTCCTTCTTGTGCTTGCTTGGACACATCTTTATGATGGCTTGTGCATGACTCTAACTGATCTCCCTGGAGTCTGGGTCTCTTGCGCTGTGTCACATTTGCACAGCTAGTCTTATTTCTTTCAGCAGCCAATTCGTGCCACGGTCCACACTTTCCTTGGGTCCAAGATTTCCTGAAGACGTTACTCTTGCGCCATGCCACTATTGCACGGCGGGACACCATCCTGCAGGCAGCGGCCAACTTCATCCGGGATCCACAGATTCCTTGGGTTAGTTCCAGTGGCTCTCCACGTCACCCTGCAGCTTGCTTCTTGCCCCTATACCGCTTCTTCCGTCCTTTGACCAGTTTCACTACGACATCTTCATTGGGGACTTCTCGTCATTGGACCACCTCAGGTTTCCTGTCCACTGAGGTCGGCTCTTTGTCTTCTAGACGTGCTTCCATCTCTTGGCAGGCCATCGTCTCTTTTCTGGTATCCGTTGTTTCTTCGGGTTCTATGACCGGTATCACTGTGGGGACCTCTTCTTGTTCTGCCGCCACAGGTTTCCTGTCCACTGAGGCTGGCTTTTCTTCTTGTAGACGTGGCTCCATCTCTTGGCAGGCCATAGTCTCTTCCTCTATTTTGGGTTTACATGCGTACACCATCTCCATGTGGCTGGTGCCCATTTTTTCTCGCATGGCTTCCATCCGTGCTTGGATAGCTCTTGTTTCTGCGGCCGTCTCTTCTTGCCAGGCGTCTAATTTTGCCATCATTTGTTATTGGCCAGCTCTGATTTCCTTGAGCAGCATTTCCATCATCTGCTGTGAGAACATTTTCTTATCTTGTGTGGTTTTCGTGTGTGTAAGTTTGTAAACCAATTCTGACACCAGTGTAACTTGTTTCACTACTGAAGATGCCGTTCGGATTGTTAACTGGTTTATTTAACAACCTACAAGTCTCAGCTACAATTAATTACAACAATGTTATGGGTTTACACACTTTAGAACCCTACAGACAAATCTCTTCACACTATCACGATTCACTCATTACAACTGAACTCGGTGACTACTACAATTCAACTCGCTTCGTAGGCTGCTCACTTTTAACTTCATAGGCTGCTGCCTTGAGGACTGTCTTCGGCGGCTGTGTAGTTCCCTTATGAACCCTCAGCCGGACAACGGGAAACGCCTCGCTTCCTTGTTCCCTAGTCGCCGTGTTTGCCGATAGTCTAGCAACGCTGTTGGGAGTTGTTTACGACTACATATCAACTGCAGCGTCCCGTGTTACATAATGGGTACCGCTGTTTACTCGCTTTGCCTAGCAACCACTGTTTACTCCCTTTGCATAGCGACCAGTGTGCTTGGACTCAGCTCACTTCAGCTCCGTTCGGTACGTCACTTCTGGCGGGGGGGGGGGGGGGGGGGGGGTCCTCCATAGCGCAGCATGTCACACTACAAGTATGTTAATTCGTTATTCATTACTGTCTTTGTATTTTCACGCTTTAATGACTACACACAGGGTTTGGATTGGTCATTGGATTTACTGGACCCTTAAGACTCATAACTACAGGTAATTATGGCTCTCAACAGTGGTTATTCCTCTGTTTCCATGTTCTTGCCCTTGTTGGATGGTGACTGTCTCACAAATAACTCGACTGCAATTCATGGCCTCACTGGCTATCCCTGGCTCTCACTCATGATGGAAACACCCTATTGTTGCATACATATCCATTTTTGGTGACACGTGTTTATCGCGCAGTTTCCTAGCAACAGCCGTCTCCTATGGCTCCACTATTCTGCCTTTTAGATGTCATGTCACAGTATTTTAGTGTGCAAATTAGATATATTTGTAGAAGAAATCAAAGTAATTACCAGGCTAATTTATAAAGGTTTTCTGAGTGAAATATACATCAGCTTTTACTCTATCAAGAACTTTCTCTTCTATTCATTTACATTATTATCCAATATTATCCACTAACCATACAGTGTCCAATTCTCTGATATATTGGGTTTTTGGACTTTATCCATCGTCCTGGTTTTTAAGATAACTAATTATTAACTTATTAGTTATCTACAAAACCAGGACAATGGATAAAGTCCAAAAACCCAATATATCAGTGTGTTATACACCATCGTCAGAATCCTATAGTAACTAAGTGTCCAATTCTGTTAAGTATTTATGTTTGAATGTAATAGTAATATTGTATTATGTGTTCTGAAATTCAGAACATGGTTAAATAAAATTCGACATATTGCTATCATATGGCAGTTATACGAGTAGCTTCAGTTATGTCATTACTAACAATCTCATTAGCAAACATAAAGAAGAATTTATTGAAATCACTGCTGTAGGAGTTTGGACAAGAGAGCTACTGAGAAATCTGTAAGGTCAGAGCTCTTGTGAGAGTGGGGATTAAGGGTTAATTATACAAGTTAAACAAAACAAGAAACTTGAATATTTTTGTAGACAAATCCAAGATCCATTTTGTCGTAATTATCAGGAACATGAGAAATGGGAACCAGAAGTGTTGTTGTTGACAGCGATGACAGCCATAAAGTGACAATGACAAATGATTGCAGTAGTAGTAATATTGACAGCACATATAATGACAATGTAGACTAGGATAGAACAGTTACAACAAGAATAAGATAGATTTGGGGGGGGGNTGAATGTGACAAAGAATTTTCATGCTCATTCTTTCCTCGTTCATGCCCATGCTAGTCATAATTCATAAGTACTATTAATTTATTTTATGTAACTCAATTTATATATGGACTTGAAGGTAAAACACAGTTTCTCAAATGCTCAAGAAACAAAGAGGTTACATTCATCTGATCTGTGTAATAAATGTTTTTTTCTCTCTCCCTGTGTTATCAGACTGTGCCAGAACAAGATTTTTGATGGAACGTCAGGGCCTGACAGAGTTGCCAACTTGCTGTGCCAATGGAAATTTCAGAAGAAAGCAGTGTCGCCGAGGGCTTTGTTATTGTGTTGACTGCAATGGCAACCAGGAAGGAAAGGAAACAGACAGTGCACAGTGCGATGATTCCTGTACCATATGTTCAAAGTCAAAACAAAAACTGAAGAATGAACAGAGTTCTATATACAAGTGGGAAACACAGAGCAAGGAAATATTCCCATATTTTTAATTAATAGTTAAATGTGTTTATGACATGTTTCTAGGACTCTGTGCATTTAGACCTGTTTGGATTTGTAGGTGAAGTAATTGTAATTAATCAGAAAGCAGTATAAAACACAGAGCTACAATGAATTCTTAATTATTCATGACTGCGTTTGGAAGAGAAATACATGGTATATAAAAGTACAGGGGAAACAATAAAGAGAACGTGACAAAATATTTTCTTTAGTTTGAGCTGTGATTTTCCTTATTACATCAATTTAAAGTATGGCTGAATAGCCTCTGTTTTCCACATGAGTTTATCTGCCTATAGTGATGAAAGAATACTAAGAACAGCTATAATCTCCAGTTGTAGCACATCTGTCTCATGGCTGGTAAGAATTCCATATCTAAGGAATGCCAGTAAGGTAGAGTGATATATAAGGAAGGAGAAGAACAGGCAGACTGGAATATGTGGATGATCCAGAGTTACTCGTATATCCTTGAATAACCAAGAGTGCAAATGTGAGTACTTGAGCATCAGTTTATCTTTTTCTTGTCTTCAGAGATCAGGCAATTTGATGCAAGTACTAATATCGAGATACTCTTTGTAATCTTTCTTTGGTTTTACCCTTAATTTTTTCCTCTAGGTTTATAATTTCATCTCATCTTCAGCCACCTGTCTACACATGCTCTTTCTACATTTTTCTATATGTATTAATAAAACTACTAACGTTTTCCACACATGCCAGTACTTTGTTTCATGTATATCAAGCTACTAATCTTAATAAATATCACTTTTGCTGCTTCTTTACTTAACTTTGTGTCTCGCTGCTCACATTAATGTTTCACTCTCATATTTTAACACTATGTGGGATGTTGATGCTGGGAGAGACAACCACATAAAACAATAGCAAATGTTTATTGTTGTTAGCATGAATATTACAGATGAACAGCAAAGTAGAGAGTGCCTGATGAATGCTGGCAAAAACTCCCTTCATACCTAGGAAGCCTGAGCTAGTGACGGCGGTGATATGGTTGTCCCTCAAAAGGGTCATTTGTTGGAAGTCGGGCATGCCTGCTGGATGCCGGGTGAAGCTCATGTCACAGTGGGCTAGCCAGTGCTAATATCGGCATTCTTCCTTGCAGCAGGCCCAGACTGCAAGTCAGTGCACCTGCAGAATGCTGTGTGAAGTTCTTGCAGTAGCAGGCTAGCTTGTGCTAGTGGCAGTGAGGCCAGCTGTCCAGTGAAGCTCCTGCCACGGCTGACTGGCCTTATGAGCAATGGCTGCAGCACTGCTACTAGTAGACCTACTATTGCGGTGTTCTCTTGATGCAAGCGTAGTTGTGACTGATGATAGCATGCCAGAGGTCCATGTTTTTATACTTTGGTCGCTAGGTGGTGCATGGACCAATGGGTGTTGGAGTTGCCATGATGAGCGGTGACTGGGTAGTGCTTGCTACACTGTGGAAGGCTCCCACAACTGTGGAGTGATATCTGGCGAACGAGGTGGCCAGGGAATTGTCAAAATTGTCAAAAATTGTATATGACCACTGTGAATGAATACAGGAGATAGCTTTATGTACCTGAGTTGCTCAGTTGGTAAGGTGACTGGTTTTGAGCTGCATGGTTAAGGTTCAGTGGCTGAGAAAGGCTAGGATTATCTCTTTGTGAGAGGGTCCAGACTGGCTCTGGTGCCTACCTATCCTCCTATTGGATTTGTACTGATGACATTTTTCCTTTGGGATGAGTGGCTGCAAGATGAAGATGACCACTCACTGCTATCTACTTCAAGTGTTACAGTATTTTATATGTTTACTTAGTAATTAAAAGAGAGACTTAAATGTTTTTCTCGACTCAACATGAATTTTTTCTTCTTTTGGCTCCTTATGTGCAGAAATTTCATACCTTTAACTCATTTCAGGTCCTGTTAAACTTGTAAGTTTAGAAAACAGTGCCCATATTCTCTGAGCTTTCCATTCTATTCATATAAATGAAATAATTTTCCTGTACCATACTTGAATCTAAGTACTGTGCAAGTGTTATTATTCTAGCATAAATTATTTTGAAGCTAATGCTTGGGTTATGAAGTAAACAAAATTATGAAGCTTGATGTGAAGTTAACACCAACATTGATAAAGAGAACTGACAAATATGAAGTAGACAACTGAATTCACCTCAGGCAAATCAATGTTTACTGTGTGTGAAATCATGAATAATATTGAAGTTCAAACTCTTTTAAGACAGATATTTAACAAATGAAGGTAATGACACCTACTTGTTATAGCATTATAGGTTTTTTAATACTAATAGGCAAATTAAACTCTGAATTTACATCTCTATACGAGGGGGTACCCAAAAGAAACCGAACTTATTTTTTTTTAAACTTAGTTATTCAAATTTTAAGCAAAAACCTTCAATCCCCTTCAAAGTACTCTCCACTTACACTAATACATTTGTCTAGTCTTTTATTCCATTTTTCAAAACATTGTCTAAACTCATCTTTTGAGATGCTTGACAGCGCCTCCGTCGTTTTTTCCTTTNGAGCCGTGGAAGGACGACCAGAACGAGGTTTGTCATCAATTGACATTTCACCATTTTTGAAATGGGAAAACCACTCAAACACTTGAGTTTTCCCCATAGCATCGTCCTTGTATGCCGTTTTTAACATTTCAAGAGTTTCTGTTCCACTTTTCCCGAGCAAAAAGCAGAATTTCACCACCGCATGCTGTTCACGAAAATCAGCCATTGCAAAAACGACGATCATACAAAACAGTTGTCACTATAAACTCTGCCGAAACTAGTCCTTAACTTCTGAAGCAACGGTAGTCGGCTTATCGACTCAGGAATGTTAGCTTGCGCTCATAGCGGCAAAACGCGGTACTACAAAAGCTCTGCCCACAAAAAAAATAGTTCAGTTTCTTTTGGGTACCCCATCGTATACTTGGTGGGTTGTACGTAGCGCATTCAAGTTCTAAGGTCTCCGATTTTTTTCTCACACAATAATCATACAAAAAATGTGAAACTTCTGTCACTTTTCAATGTAATCTCCCTGCAGCCGTACACATTTTTCAGAACGTTCACGCCATGATTCCATGGCCGCTGTGAACGCTTCTGTAGGAGTCTGTTTTGACGGTTTTGACCACTGGAAAATCGCTGATGCAATAGCGGCACGACTGGTGAATGTGCGACCACGGAGAGTGTCTTTCATCGTTGGGAAAAGGCAAAAATCGCTAGGAGCCAGGTCAGGTGAGTAGGGAGCATGAGAAACCACTTCAAGGTTTCCCGATGCTCTGGTGCATTGTCCTGGTGAAAGAGCACGCGTGCAGCCTTTTCCAGCCATTTTCTCGCAGTGCTGGAAGGAGCTTGTTCTTCAAAACATCTCGGTAGGATACACCTGTCACCGTAGTATCCTTTGGAACGCAGTGAGTAAGGATTACGCCATCGCTGTCCCAAAACTGGCCACCATCATTTTTTCAGCACTGGCGCTTACCTGAAATTTTTTGGTTGCGGTGAGTCTGTGTGCTTCCACTGAGCTGACTGGCGCTTCATTTCAGGATTGAAAAACGGCATCCATGTCTCATCCATTGTCACAACTGATGAAAAGAAAGTCCCATTCATGCCTTCATCAGGTGTCAACATCGCCTGACAAATTGCCATGCGCGTAGCCTTGTGGTCGTCCACCAGCATTCGTGGCAGCCACCTGGAGGACACTTGCCGCATTCGCAGGTCTTCATGCAGGATTGTGTGCACAGATCCCATGGAAATGCCAACTTTGGAGGCGATCCTCCAAAACAACTTTCTCAACTCGCTCGATCATGTTGTCAGACAGGCTGGTGTGAGGCCGAGATTGTTTTGGTTCATTGTCACATGACGTTCGGCCTTCTTTGAACTGTCGCACCCACAAACGCACATTTTTCACATTCATGACACATCACCACATGTCTCACTCAACTGGGGATGAATTTCAATGGGTGTCGCACCACGCAAGTGGAGAAAACGAATGATTACTTGCTGTTCTTGTAACGAAAACGTCGCCCATTTTAAGTATCAAAAACACTCCTCACACTAGCCGCCACCACTAGAGTTTGAACTGTCGCACCCACAAACGCACATTTTTCACATTCATGACACATCACCACATGTCTCACTCAACTGGGGATGAATTTCAATGGGTGTCGCACCACGCAAGTGGAGAAAACGAATGATTACTTGCTGTTCTTGTAACGAAAACGTCGCCCATTTTAAGTATCAAAAACACTCCTCACACTAGCCGCCACCACTAGAGTTTGAACTGTCGCACCCACAAACGCACATTTTTCACATTCATGACACATCACCACATGTCTCACTCAACTGGGGATGAATTTCAATGGGTGTCGCACCACGCAAGTGGAGAAAACGAATGATTACTTGCTGTTCTTGTAACGAAAACGTCGCCCATTTTAAGTATCAAAAACACTCCTCACACTAGCCGCCACCACTAGAGTTCTGTGTGCCGTACAGTGCTGCCATCTCTGTCACCCATTCACAAAGAGTTCACACGTATTTTAAACTAAAGCGCATGTATGTGTCTGCTCCCAGTCCTGAGAAAAAAAAAATCGGAGACCTTAGAACTTCAACGGCTCTCGTATCTACATTAGCATTATCTACGTGCTCATTCCTTCTACTCTTTAGATGAATACTTCAATGTAAATAGAGAATGATGTAAAATTAAGTTATATTAATTTTTAAGCTAAAATTGCCTGTACTTATGTATGTAACGTTTTGACTTGTTCTGTATTCAAAGGTACTAACCTGCTTGGGATTTATAGAATGTAAATAAATTCAATTCAATATTGTGTGTGTGAATATCACACTTATGCATGCATAATTGTATGTATACTTTTCATTGTACAAAAGCAAATATTCAAATTATAGATCAGTTTTTCATGCTTGAATTATGAAAGTGAGTCTGAATCCAACTAACTCACCAGTCTTTTGTCTTGTGATTCACAGATTTTGCGGCAATATGTAGGAAATATCATAATTTATGTTAGATCTGCTTATTAATAAAAACTGTGCATAAGTAAGTATAAATTGACATCTTCATCAGTCACATAACTAACTCCATGGAGATGAGCTCTTCTTCAGAATCTGCCAGTTGTGCAACTACTCAAGAATTCCCCAACATTTTATGGAACCCGAAAAGGTTTATTGCCATGTTCACAAGAGCCCTCCACTTGTCCCTATCCTGAGCCAGATCAATCCAATCAATACCATCCCATCCTATATCTTTAAGATCCATTTTAATATTATCAATCCACCTACATCTTGGTCTTCCTAGTGGTCTCTTTCCTTCTGGCTTTCTACAAATATCCTACATATATTCTTATTCACACCATTCCTGCTACACGCCCTGCCCATCTCATCCTCCTTGACTTGATAATTCTACACGTAATTATACTTGGCAAAGAGTACAATTTATGAAACTCCTCTTTATGCAGTTTTCTCCATCCTCCTGTCACCTCATTCATCTGCAGTCCAAATAATCACCTCAGCACCCTGTTTTCAAATACCCTCAGTCTATGTTCCTCCCTAAATGTCAGAGATCAAGTTTCACACCCTTACAGAACCACAGGCAAAATTGTGGTTTTGTATATTCTACTTTTTACGCTTTTAGACAGCAGATGGGAAGACAAAAGCTTCTGGACTAAATAGTAGCAAGCATTGCCCGAATTCATTTCCCTCTTAATTTCCTCCTGAATCACATTTTGATTTGCTACTGTCATTCCAAAATATTTTAATTGTGCCACATTTTCGAAGCGTCTTTTAACTATCTTCATGTCATGATTTTGCCCTGCGTTCTGGTGATGAGACAGGAACGTGTATTTAGTTTTCTCTATGTTTACCTCTAGACCAATTTCCTTACTAGCATCAGTTAAAGTTTCTATATATTTATTAATACTTAATTGTATACTGAGTTGAACACAACTCATGCTCAAAGTGAGGTTAACCCGCATCCTGATGAAATCTGTTGTCAATCGAGACTAGCTCTGGTATGGTGTAGTGTTAAATCGAAATATTCCAAAAGGAATAAACAAACAAAAAGACCTGTAACTGTGCAACCTACTGAACTGATAAATATTAAAAATAAATATGCACCGTTATCTAACCTTGAGGATGGTTTACCGGGAAGTGATGACGCCATGTTATGTGAAGATAGAAGAATGCTCCGTAATACCTCTACTCCAAGAAATTTGAAGAATGGCTGTCAATGGAAAAGTCGTCTAAACCAACATGATCTCTGCAAGGTGCTATCATCAGTTAATGTATGTGAAAGTGGAAGTGATCGAGAGAGAAGTAGTAAATATAGTCAAATACCTACGATCATCAGTGGGAGAATTGAATCACCACAAATGAATGTTTCCAATAGAGTTATGAAAAGAAGTGCCACTGGAAAGATTGTTAAAATGTCAAAGGATCATAAGGTGTTAATTTATGGTGATAGCCATTCGCGGGGCTTATCCTCAGGCCTAAATAATAAATTATCGGATGCATTTGATGTGTTAGGCTATACCAAACCAAATTGTAATATACGGACATTATTGTCCACTGAAAATCGAGAGATTGCAAACTTGACTAATAAGGATGTACGGTTCAAATAATATAAATGATAATACTCCTGCAAGGGAACAATGGCACATCTCTCAATTTATAAATCGGAATATGCAGACAAATATTGTATTGTTAGCAATACCCTATTGCTATGATCAAATATGGAATGCATATATAAATGAGAAAATTATGAAAGTTAATAGGGAAATGCACGAGGTTTAATAAGGATGTCACTATTTTGGAAACTCCTAAGGATAGAGATTATTATACTAGGCATGGGTACCATCTGAATGGATTAGGTAAAGAAATTATTTGTAAGCAACTTGCCTCAGTAATTGATGGATTGTTCCAGCCTATTGAGGTTATACCCATTACATTGGACTGGAAAAACAATCAGGCAATGTCCTTGGAGTTAGAGGCCACTTCTGCCAATAGTGATTTTAGTAACACTGTGTCTAAGGGCAATATAGAGAATGGAGGTAAAGTAGAAGAGCTCAAAGCATGTAGAGTGTCAAGCAGGCAAAAAAAGGTACCTACTAACAGAACGGGCGATTTTTATGGCAAATTTAAGTCCAAGCTCCAATATGAAAAGAACGTCAAGGGAATCTAGTACTGAACACAAGGTACCGTTTATGATATGTCATCAGAATATTAGATCATTGAATGGTAAAATGGATTGAGTTACTGGCATATTGGTTAAATGAATCCCCGCACATCTTATGTCTTACTGAGCATCATTTGCATAAGCAAGAAATTAGTAAACTATGTAGTAGTCCTTATTCCTTAGCAGCCAGTTATTGTAGAAGCAAATATAAGCATGGAGGAGTATGTACATACGTACACTCTTCGCTATCATTTGTAAGCACTGATTCAGAAAAATATTGTAAAGAACAGGATCTTGAGGTATGTGCTATTAAATTACGTCTAGCATCGGTTACATACTGTATAATATCAATATATAGATCCCCAGTTGGCAAACTTCCTTGTTTCATAAGTACTTTAGACCTTGTACTAAATAAGCTTTACTCCATTTCTACTAATATAATCCTTTGTGGCGATGTTAACATAAATTACCTTTGTGAGAGTAATAATAGAACTCAGCTTGACTCTCTTTTGGCTTCATACAATCTGTTTAATATAGTTAATTTCCCCACAAGGATTGATAATAAGTCTTCTACTGCTATTGATGGTATATTCATTGATAAATATAAATTTTTTAACTATGTTATCATGCCAGGGGTAAATGGCCTATCTGACCACGATGCACAAGTACTGGTATTAAATAACTCAAAAGTTCACAATTCTAAACTTTGTAGGTATAATAAGTGACAGATAAATAAAACTAGTATTGAGAATTTTAAACTAAGTTTTGAAACCTGGGAAGAATTTTTTTCAAATGAAGATGTAGATAAAATATTTAATGCTTTCCTTAATATTTATTTGAGAAATTTTAATGATTGTTTTCCTATCAAAAAATTATTTAGTAAATATAATAATAAGGCATGGTTAACAGCTGGTATTAGAATTTCATGCCAAAATAAAAGAAATCTTTATATCTTAAGCAGGAACTCAAATAATCCTATACTTTGTGAATACTATAAAAAATATTGTGGAATACTGAGGGAAGTTATAAAAACTGCAAAAAAAATGCATTATAATAAACTGATTGCCAAATCTAATAATAAAACTAAGACTATGTGGAGTATGGTAAATAATGTAAGTGGCAAATGTAAAAATATTCGTGATCCCCCACCACTAATTGTAGAGGGAATGGAATGTAAAGATAGTCAAAGTATAGCAACAGCTTTCAATTTATACTTTGATGCTACAACAATTAAGAAGCTAAATAATGTTAGTATTAACTTGGATCCAATATCAAGCAATGATAATTTTTCTCATTATTTATCCTCATTGCGTTTAGGACCCAGTAATAATATTTTATATGAACCTGTAACTTACAAAGAATTAAGTGATATTATTAAATCCCTTAAAAATAAAAGTTCCTATGGCTATGATGAAATATCGACGAAGATAATAAAATTAAGTATGTTATATATTATGTCCCCTCTTATTTACATATGTAATAGGTCCTTGGCCACAGGTACATTTCCCTCAAGGTTAAAATACTCACAAATACATCCGGTACACAAGAAAGGTGATGCGTCTGAAGTATCTAATTATAGACCAATTTCTGTGCTTACATCCTTTTCTAAAATATTTGAAAAGGTTATATATAATAGAGTGTATGCTCATGTAGTACTTAATAATATATTGCCTGCTGAGCAACATGGATTTAGGAAACATCTATCTACGGATACTGCTATTCTTAGTTTACTTAATAATATTATGCAGGCACTTAATGACAGAAAACTGGTCGGTGGTATTTTCTGTGACTTAACAAAGGCCTTTGATAGTGTGAACCATGATATTTTACTTGAGAAAATGGATTTCTATGGTATAAGAGGTATATTTCATAAATTGCTTACCTCATATTTAAGTGATAGATACCAACGAGTAGTAATTAAGGATAAACAAGCTATACAATATTTTTCTGAGTGGAAACAGATCAGATTGGGAGTACCACAAGGATCAATTCTTAGGCCATTATTCTTTTTATTATATATAAATGATTTGCCAGCAGCAATAAATAATATGTCAAAACCCATCCTATTTGCAGATGACATTAGTTTAATAGTATCTACTTCAGATCCTAATCAGCTTAAAGAATCTTTTAATTTAGTTGTTGAGAAA